GCACTACCGCAGCCATCGCTGAGCTGTGCCTGATGCCCCTGCTGTGGCTGTGCAGCCCCCTGCGCCCCCTGGAGCCGGAGCCATCCCGGCTCCCGGAGCATCTCTTGGGACAAACAGGAGCAAGAGGAGTTTGGGGAGAAAGAGCAGGAATTCAGATCTCCGACTCGCTGTCCGAGTGAATGGAAAAGCAGGCAAGTGGCCATACCCCAGCGAAGGGGCAGAGTTCAAGAGCACGGTTATTTTTAGTAATAATTTTGGAATGGAAAATGTCTTTCAGCTTAATGAGCTTGTTTCTTATATCCTTTTAAAGTGCTGCTCTTTAAAGCAGCTGGTTAAATGATGCTGGATTTGTTTTTTGTTTTTAAGGATGCTCTTAGGTTGAGAAAAAGCATTTGGTTTATGATTTTCTCTCATTGCTTTAGCAAATGTTTGCTTACACTTTGCAGCGTCCGGCTTTTGAGCGTGAAGTGAGCCATTTTTGCTTTTGTTTTCCAAAGCCGTTCCCTGTGTGGATTGACTGCATGCAAAGGTTTCAATCCACTTTTTAACACTATTTCACTGAAGTGACTTTATTTTTTTAACACCACAGTGGTATTTTGCCTATCTTAAAAATGCAATATTCGACTGAAACATTGGCGAAAGCACCACCATTTATTTCTTGCACCTCAGCTTTTGAGGTTATTTGCAGTAGTAGAAAGCTGTATCTTTTTTAAAAAAGGAGGCACACGAAGGCAAAGCAGAAGAAGCACAGTCTGAATTCGTTTCCTCAGCTATCGTGGCATTTTCACCATAAACAGGTACCTCAGGCATAAGCACTTCAAGATGCTGATGATACACAGCTAAGATGTAGCTTCATAAAAAGGCAGCAGAGCCTAATAAATTCCATTGCTCGTGAAACGGATATTCCCAGTAACCCTCCACCCAGCACGTCATAAATGAAGCAGCCACCTACTTGTAGGCTCTGAGAAGATGGAGCAGATTTGGGTCTCAGAGGCCACCAGAGCCTTTGGGCTCTCCAGGAGGAGGGTTGCGTGCCCTGGTGATGCAGGGATGTATCCCCAAAATGCATCCAGGTTGGAGCGGTCTGGAAAGCAGCATCATCCATGTTTGCCCTGTGGATCCCTGTGTCTGCCAGGGAATGGCAAGGAGCAAAAGGGGCAAAGGTGGGAGAGGATCAGAGCGTGCTGAGAAGAACGGGAGAGCCAAGGCGCAAAAATGAATCTTCTGTTTGCCCACAGCTTTCATGCTGTCCAGGAGCTGGGCTGAACGTCGGTACCTGTCTGCGGTGGTGCTGGGCTCTCCATGCCCAGGGACTCCAGACGCTGGATCCATCTCCCAGAGAAAACCCCATTCAGTCCATTTTTGGTGGGAGTGAATTATCCTTCGCCCTCCTCCCCATGAAAAGAAACAAACCCCAGCCATTCATCCACACTATTGTTCCTGGAAGGATGGATTTTCATCTCAGAAACAAGCGCTCATCTCTGGTCATGCTGGAGAAGTGGTAATTAGGAGCCGCTGTAGCCTCCACGTCTCTCCCAGCGAACAAACAAGCCTACGATGTCCTACCCATGGGGGCTCTCAGAAACGCCTCTGCCTTCGTGGAAAATCCTGTCCCTGTTGTCCCTCTTCCTCCCCTCATTAACATTCCTCCGGCACAAAGTGCGGTGCCCGCTGAGCGTGGCAGTGCCCGTGGCGGGCGGCACCCAGCTGTGAGCGCCCGCGTTGCGTCTATGACCAGGCTTTAAAACAGGGCATGTACTTGACGTCTTTCTTTTTTATAAGATCTAATTAGTCTGCAGATCACAGCATCAGGTTTCTCTCCACAAGCCCGAGGCTTAAAAAGGAAAGAACTTTTGTCAGAGGATTGAAATTCCGGGGTGTTCACACATCTCGAAGAGCAGGGACTTGGCAACGTTCATCAGGAGGCTTGCAATGAAGTGGCAGGAGTTGGGGATGCTGCAGTAGGTTCTCAGCAGTGTCCTCCAAGTCCTTCCCAGAGCCTCAGTGAGCAGCTTGTTTTTCTTCAGCAGCTGGAAAGTTCATCACTCAACTGCAGCCACCCACCAACTGGTTTGGGCGCCTGAGCTAGGCTGGTTGCTCACTTTGCAATGGACTCAAACCTGATTGTTTAGCCGTCAGATGCTGCACCAAAGGCAAGCTGTCCAGTGTTGATGTGCACACCAGCAGAGGATGGATCTGGCATATTAGAACATCAGCCCTTGGACCTGGGTAGCTGAGGCTCATCTGCAATCCATGGGACAGGACGTTTTGGTTCTTAAAGGGAGAGAGGGCACTAAGAAGTGGTCACATGAGGCTCCATATCTTGCTGTACCATTGCCTGGGGTTGTGCAGATGGGCTGGAGAAGCTTGAGATGAAAAATGACAGCAACCAGCCTTAGGCAAGAACAGACCAAATCAAGCAGAACAACACGAGAGCCTCTTCATCAGGTGCCATGGAAAACACAGGCTTCTGTCCTTGGCCCGGCTCAGACATAGCTGGAGGAGGTGGGGCTGCCTCTCAGAGCTCTTTAACTGCATCTTTTTTTTCTCCTCAAGTGGATTGCAAGTTTTAAATGCCTCCCTTATGTTAAGAAAATCAGACTAGAAAGCCTCCCGACCATACGAGTCTCCTTGAAGAAAGATAAAAGTGTCGGCACAGCCCTCGACGCAGCGAAGGGCATGCGGAAGATCATCTCTGCACGCGCGGTGGACAGTGCTGCGGTCACGGTGGCTGGGGGCTGCTCTGCCCCGCAGGAGAGGGCTTCCTGGGTTGCAGCCTGGCTCGCCTCCTGCGCTTAGGATGAATGGACCCGCGCCGTGCCAACCCCATGACCAGGAAAATCAAAAAGCGCGGTCCTCGGTGCGGATCTCCTCCAGCACCTGCAGCGGTGGGGTGGAAAGACAAGGACGTGGGCTCCTCTTGGTGGCTTCCCTGCATCCGTCCCAGACAAGCCCTGCTGTCTGACGAGCCAAGCCCGTCTGCAGAGGCACTAATTGAGTGCGACGGGAGGCGGGGGGGTCACGCTGGGCTTGCAGAGCCCTCGCCAGCCCTTCCCTCAGCGCCGTGAGCAGCGGGGCTGCGTTCCCAGCCCTGCTCCTCATTATCACCAGCTTATTGCGGTGAGAGCAAGACAGCCCGACTGAGGTTTGCAAAGGTCCTTGTAGGTCACGCTGTCAAGTGCCTTGTTATCACAGGCGCTCTGGAGCTTAATCCTCTTCCCAAAGTCCTCTTGAGCAGAAACTGGATGTCTTCCTGCCCCCCCAGCTAAGCAGGGGGGCGCAGCGTGGAGGGGGGCATCGATGATGGGCAGGAGAAGGGAGCCAGTGGCAGAACCAGCTCCCCTGAACTGCCGTGCCGTGGCCTTGCTAATCCTGCGAAGCGTCCATCACCTGTGAGGCAGGAGGGAGAAGCATCTTGTGGCCTCTGCAGAGTTGCGAATATTTATTTTTTCTTAAATATACATTAACTGTGCCACAAGGGAGAATTTGGGTTGGAGGAGCCAGTGGCACAACCCCTTTGTTTTTTTGTCTTTAGCCTGTGGGTTTATAACTTACATGAAAGGAAGAGAAAAATTCAGCAGAAGCAGCAAGAACCAAATGATATAATGATCTTTGTTTCTAAATCTTACTGTGTTACAGGGATGGAGCACCATCCATCCCAGCCCACAAGACTTCTGGGAATCCGAGAAGATCAAGGTATTCCCCTTTCAATATTACCAGACAAGCTGCCATGCAGCTATCATGTTTGTATTTCTCTTTTTTAAAAGATAAATAAAAAAAAAAGCCTCAAAGAAACCCAGCTCCCAGACCAAATCCATTTGAAAAATGGATTTTGGTCATCTCCACCGTGGTTTATTTGACTAATCCCCAGTCAGAGTGAGAAGTGGACTCCAGAGATAAGGTCCTAGGTCTCGATGGTGAGGGATCTCTTCACTACTGAAGGTTTTCCTTCACACAAACATGCCATATTGCATTATTTAAAAAACAAACAAACAAACAAACAAAAAAAAAACAAACCAAAAAACAAGCAACCTGATTTGTTTGAGTACTTGCTCCTTCTTTCCTTCCCCCTACCCCACCTGCTGTTTTTTCCTACATCTCAAGAAACATGTTTCCCATTCTTTCCTGAAATGGTGATGCCTCCCTCAGCATCTCTACTAGGAAAGAGCACCAGCTTGTCAGGTGCACCAGTGTCAGGTCTGGGGAACTACTGATTGCAGTAAATTGCAGACTTCTCCTGCTGGGCTTATGCCAGTGGAGACCAGAGACATGGAGGACTCAGCTCAGAAGCTGTGTGACTGGCAGCTCGTAGACACTTTTGCCTGCTCCTTGCACCTTGGATGTCCTCCCACTTCTGCTGAGCTTCTGAAGCACAGGCTGCAAGGATGGCTGCATCCGCAGGGATGTCCATGTCTTGGAACTCACAGATTACAGCAGTCTTGAATGTTGTCTGTGAATCTCTGCATCTTTCAGGACAAGGTGTTGGGCTTCCCACCCCTGGAGCTGTGTGAATCTGAAACTAGGAGAGTGGAGATGCTTGATTTGAAATGAATTCAACCTCTAGATCCTGAAAAGAGACTTTGGGAGTGCCAGACCTGGAAGAACGAGGTGACAGTAAGATGCCCATCGGAGGGGAGTTCATGTGTGCACTGACAACTGTACCCCAAGGCCAGGCACGGAGCTCTTGCAGGAGCAAACCTGTTGCTGACATGAAGAAAGAAGCTGTTCCCACTTCATACTTCGAGCTGCCTGTAGGGAGAGAAAATAACATCTACAACTGAGTCAACATCTAGAGGAGTTGCTTTCTCGCAGGCATCCCCAAAAGCTACATCCAACACCCAGGGTTGGGCAGGTGTCCCACGTCGTTTCTAAGTGAGGAACAGGTCAGGTTCATACCCACCTGGTAACGCGGGTCCTGCGAGCAAGCAGCAACTGGACTTCATGTCGTACAGTCACCTCGTCCTGCAGATGCTCGTCTGGGTGCAGACCTGTGCGTGAAGCTGCTTATTAATGGGAAGGGAGGATGATGGTGTCTCTGAGCTCAGCGTTGGGAAACAGGCACTGCTCTCCTGCAGCCCAGAGAGCCCAGGATAGGGGATGGATGGAGGTCATCCAAGCTGCGGGGGAGGATCGCAGAGTGATGCCAGGCTCGTCCTGGCTTTGGAGAGGGCTGTCTGGTCTTGGAAACACGGGGGCAACAAAGCAGGTGATGCTCTGCCTGGCAAGGGCTTGGTTTATCTTTCGACCTTACATACTGGGTGAGAAGATGCCATCTGCTCTGCCTGGTGTGTCATTGCTGCTGGCAGCTGGGCAGGGGCGAGAGCCAGGGGTTTTGCTAACCAGGCTGGGATGAGTCAGCTTCCCGCTGACCGGCTCCGTGGCGAGCAGCAACACCAACTTTCTGGTGTAGCAGCTCCAAGCACAGATCAATAGAAATAACTACTTATACGTATAACCTCTTTCCATCTGTCCCTTCCATCTGTCGTTTGTACCAGCTAGCTTCAGCCTGATCACTAGCAAATGCTATTGTGGTGACCTGTAAGATTTACCCTCCTATAGCCCTTCAGGTGTATCTGGTTCTTCACCTCCAAGAATGCGACAGTTTGTTGGTTTTGATGAGGTTGAGATTTGCAGATTTAAGGCTTTAAGTAGCCACTGTCTCCCCAGACCTCTGCAATGCTTTCCCACAGATCCCAGTGTCCAGCTGAATCACTGGTGGCTGAACAAGAAGATGTGTTTTTTGGATTATCACCCCTTCCCAGCGGAGCAGCCCTGGCAGTGGAGGCTGTCCTTGTGTGGTTGATCTCAGAGTGAGGAATCACAGAACGATTTGGGTTGGAAGGGACCTTTAAAGATCATCTAGTCCAACCGTGCTTTGAACCTTTATCCTTGAGACCTTGCCGCGACTGTGCGTCAGGTCTTTGGCATTTAAGTCACTTTATAAAATCCCATTTGTTGAGGGTTTGCCTTTCTCTTCGGCTTTTCTGTTATCTAGTAGGTGTTTTATCTCTTCTAATGTGCCCAAAGGAGTTTTGGTGCATCTGTGCGGTTGAGGAAGGGTTGGCATTAAGCAAAAATTTCTTGCCGTTTGATGATTGAGAAAACAGGAGTCGTGGTGGGGGGAGAAACTTAAGCAGGATTTTGTGTTGGCCTGAAAAAACGAAGAGAAGAATCCGTGCCAGACAAGCGCCAGATGGACAAAAGCCACGACCCAAATCGGAGCTCTGACAGCAGCAGCCTACCTGGCTCCAGTAGACCAAGCAGAAAACATCGTGTGGGCCTGGGGAGCCTCTGCAGCCATGAACTTAGGAGCAGTTTGTAAAAAAAAAAAACAAACCCTCTTGCTTTTTGCATAACAGCTTTCACATGGAAGGAGCCTGAGCACCGTTGACGTGCAGCGAACAGCACTGCTGCACCGGCGGCTGCGGCAGCAGGGGAGGGCGAGCGGTGGGAATCAGCCCCAGGCCTTTGCGTGCTGGGGTGGAGCTGGGCTGATGGGAACAACGTCTGTGTAGGACTCTTTTAGCATGTGTTTTAATTTCCTGTTTTTTAAGAAACAAGTTTTATATTCTAGGTTTTATTTTTACACTTCACATAGGTCCCACTGATTGCCTGAAAAGCCTTATTGTGTTACAGACAGCTCTGATTTCCCTGGAACACCACCTGTGCCCCTGCTGCTTTCTCTTAACATCCCATAACCAGCTTCAAGTTCAGCAGAGAGGTGAAGTGTTAGGGTAGTCGTCAATAAATAAGCAGGCCTTTTGCTTTGCCGAATGCCTCATTCAGTCCTCAACAAAGGGCTGGATGAGTTCAGGGAGTTGTCATCTCTCATGAGGAGTGATGGAAACTCCTATTGCTTGGGCTGTTCCCAACTGGACTGGGCTAAAACGTGCTGCGGGAAACAGCAGTGTGTGGAAAAGTGTGTGATTTAGGGTATGTAACGTGATGATTGAGAAGGAGAAAGTTACCGATGTCACTGTCTGCATAAAGCTGCTTTCCAGGTTTCGGGAAAGCCTGTGTGCTGTTTCCAAAGGGAGATCGTTAATAATAATGTTATTAGCATCTAATAAGTGATTTTCATCTGCGTACTGTTCGGACATCAACTCGTCAGCATGTGACATGCTTCTGACTAGATGACTCCTGCCACCTCGGGTTTGGGACAGGTCTCTCCTGTCTGTTTAGAAGTGGCCGGAGACAGCGGCGGGGTGGTGGTTTGCATGGAGCGCCTGCCGGCACATCCCGCTCCCACCTCCTGTCCCACGGTACCGCCGTCCGGCCGCGGAGCCTTGCAGCAGCCGTTGGCATCACTGCTGGACGAGGGAGCGAGATGCATGACGGGACTTCCGTGGAGATTCAGCCCTAACAGGCTCAGAAGATGGTTGAACTCTGGACTTTTACACTTTCAACTGACCGATTTCTCTTTTCTTTAGGATTCCCGTACGCTATCACTTCACCTCCTTGGTTTCTTCCCCCGCAGCAGTACCCATCCATTTTCCTCTCCCGCAGTGACTTGCCATGTAGCTTCCTTTGCTTTTCATCACGTCTCTTTAACCTTTTTACTTCCAGGACATCTCCCTCTGCAGAAAAGGGAGTTTCCCTGTAGAGGCCAGGTCTGAGCGGCAGCCTGCCTTGCTATGCTCCCACAGGAGTGCACATGGAGCAGCTCTCCCAGGCCAGGGTTGCTCAGCACCTTCCCCAAACCTCATACCCCCTTGGACTATCCAAGCCTGAGACCCACTGACCACACTGGTGGAAAGGTGAGGTGGGGGAACAAGACATCAGATGTCCGTGTGCTCCTACAGGTCACAAGGACCAGGGATGCTTTAGGTTTTCATGGCTAAGTAACGCCTGTAGCTCCGTGGAGCTTTTGGGTCCCAGCTCAGCCCGTGACACCATGGCCAGGAGCCCTTGGCTGACACTGTCCCTCTCTGTCCGCCTCTAGCCGTCCAGGAGGAAAGGCAGCGGGGGAAGGACCGCAACGAGAACGAGGTGGAATCAACAAGTAGCGCTAACGAGGACATGCCCGTGGAAAAGATCTTGGAAGCTGAACTTGCAGTGGAGCCAAAGACAGAGACATACATTGAAGCAAACATGGGCTTGACGCCGAGCTCGGTAAGGCACCTCCACCCGCGGCACGCGAGGCAGAAGGGATGGCTTGTGGGGCCTCAGATTGACCTAGCACGAATACAGGGGCGAGCCTAGGTCAGAGAGGGCTTCTCTTTTGGGAAGAGAACTAAGCAGAGCTCAGAAATGTGACTTGTTCGCTCCGCTGTAGGCGCCACTTGTGAGCTTAGATGAAAGCAGGAGGAAAGCAAACCTCTCTGCCCCTGTGCAGCCACCAGCACTGGTCCTGGTCTGTCTCACTGCCGTGGCGAAGGAACAGACCCTGTAAGGCGTAATTAGAAGGGCTCACAGAGATTTTATTTTAGTTAACAGCCCTTGGGGCTCAAATGCAGGAAGACGGTCTGTGCTCTGAAGAGCTCAGAGTCCAATCGCGCCAATAGCCAGTTGTGCGGCTGAAGTGCAGAGAGATAAGAGTTGTAAAATTGGGGTGTGACTTTTCAGATGCAGAGTTGTAGCAGCTGCTTGGCTCTTAAGAGAAAACCTGGAGAAGGTTCCTTTCAGGTTCCTTCCCAAGTTTGCATTGCAACCAGACCTGCTCAAAGAAACCAGGCTCTAACAGGACCTTGTGTAAACAAGAGAGAGCTGACAGGGAAATAGGAAAAGAGTGAGAAGCTGTGATGAGGGAAGCTGCCTCGGTCCCTTTCTGCGGAGATACCCTGATGAGCAGGTTATAGCCTTGCTTAGAGAAAGCCTCCCCGCAAAGCAGCTACCCCCAAATGTGAGAGCCAGCCTCTGAAATTCTGTTTCTAGGATAGACCCTGGGCCAAGCCCTCGTGAAGAGCCCTATTGCAGAGAAGGTACTCGCTGCCCAGCCTGGGCAGCATTTAGGGTGCAGTCCCCATTCCTCAATAGCCCCCGTTCCCGTGGAAGTGACGGGAATAGGGGAATGCCTCTAAAAGGTAGGACTGCAGTGTAGCAGTAGGGGCAGGAGTGGGGCTAATTACCCCCATGCCGGGTACACCAGGGGAGCTGTGGGATACTGAGGGACTGGGAAGCCTCAAAGCACAGAGATGGAGAAGGAAAAACTGAATTGCTGTGCACCATTGTGTGTGTGCTTTTGGGGCTGGGGTTGGCTGCACGTTTAATTTCTCACTGGCCTTACGGCGATGCCGCCTGGCAGGGACGCACCGTCCCATGCTGTCCCTCCGAGAGCAGGAGGGGCCGCCGTGGCACGGGGCCATCAGGGCTGCGGAAGGTACAAGTTACCCCGGGACCCTGGTAGCTATTGCCAGGCTTGCTGCTGGGGAGGGGAGAGGCCAGAGTGGGGGGCACGTCCTGGCTGCCTGGCAGTCCTTCGGGGGGGCACAGGGTGCCACTGGGGCTGTGTGAGTGGGCAGGCTGGCTAACGCAGGATGGCAGGAACACACACTGAAATATCCCTCTGTGTTTCCTGTTGCTCTGTGCTGAGTGTCCATGAGGCCGAGATGATGAAGCGCAGCTATTTCTAGGAAGTGGAAGGACTCTGGTGTATTTATTTTCCACTATGATAATACTTGTCTCTTTTTTTATATGAAGTTTAGAGGATTGAACTGGGAATACCTTACCTGGCAGGGCTTGAGAGGAGATGTCAGACCGTTCCTTGTAGGAGTCTAGGTCTCGAATGCCTCTATGGGATGCTCTTCTTGGCCTTTACCTGCAAGGACACTTTATGGCTGGCTCGCTCGGTGAGGCCCCGCAGTGCATAAGGCTTCCTGCTGTGGACAGAGCCCATTCCTCAGTGCAACATCCCAGGAGATACAGGGCTGCGGTGCTCCTGGCATTCAGGAGCCCAGTTGCACTCTGCAGGCAGCGACGCCTCCGACCGGAGCAGCCCCGGAGCTCGCACGGGGCTTTTTTGGAGGAGGCAGCTCAGCCGCGGTGAGCGAGGGGCTGGGAGAGGCTCCGACGGCTGCCAGGTTTAAAAATACTTCAGGGGAGTTTGTAGCCAGCGTTGTGTTGACTTGAAAACAAACCCCAGAGAGTGGAGCTGGAATAAATGGCTTCGTCTGGCACTGCGGCTCCTCAGCCTCTGGTAGCAAATTGAAAGCTGGTTCCTGCATAATTCAACACGCATTACTGTGAACAAGGATGTGTGTTGCATCTAAATAGAAGCAGGAGGCTTGTTGAAATGCCCTATTATTGTCAAGCGGGTTCTGTCGATGAGGTGACATTTGTAGCAGGTTTAGCAGCTGTATGAGATCAGCAGCTCGCAGTGACGAGGCCGTGGAGGATCTGCCCTCCTCCCAGCCCTCCCCAGAGAGCCCATGTCAGGGAAAGGCAGACGAATTCAATGCCTGATAGACACGGGGTAAAGCACAAGCTGGTTCCTGTTAGCCTGGTATGTTGGGTCCTTTTATTTGCGCCCTGCCCCTTGGTCCGTCTGTGTTGAATGCTGCCGGTGAGCTGGAGAGCTCCAGCGCTTGCACAGACGTTTCCACCTGGGCTGTGCCAGACTGGGATGGAGATGGTAGGGTGCTGTGGTAGTTAACACCTTCCTCTCCCAGATACTGTTGTGTCTGTGACTGTCACCTTGTGCCATGGTCCCCTGGGTGCTGTGAGAGCAGAGATCCCAACTCTGGTGGAGGGAGGTCCCTCTGCTTTGCTGGTCTGGCACTGGCACTGATTTCTCCCACTTTGGACAGTGTGGGACCCAAGTGTGAGACTTCAGCACAGTCCTCAGAGCTGGTAAAGGGGAGGGCAAGGGGGCTGCAGCCTGTGAGCTGTTCCAGCAGCCCTGGTAACTAAACACCTTGTTGCTGGTGAAGTGTGCTGCTCTGGATGTGACCAGGCAGGGGATCCATGGCTCTGTCCCGAAACCTCGATTGACATCGGAGAGGATGGGCTACGTTCATGGTTTGAAGCCCATGATGGAGAATGGGGAGTACAGCGGGGTGTGATCCTTGTGTGTGGACAAGGGATAGGGAGGGATGCTGAGCCAGGCAGAAAACAGCCAAGACAGGGGGATCTGGTCCTGCGAATCTGCTCTCCGTCTGCCTTGGGTGGTAGGAGCGTGCCAAGACTTGGCATTTTGATGACCATCACTGAAACACTCACTTGAAGTAATTGCACCCATGAGCCCCTGATAAGAGCTCTTCAGTCACTGCAAATAGCTGCTAATTGCGAGGGTTGTCTGGCTCCTGACCGTAGCAAAGGGGGTAAACCCTTTGGGAGGTTCCGCAGCTGTAATGGAGCACGGCTGCAGGATTCCTCCACGCTGTGTGTCGCAGGAAGCCCCGAGCCCCATGTCATCCCTGTCCCTCGGGAGCTGGGCACTGGCCGTATGCCCTGGTCATACCTGTCCCCGGGCAGTATGATGGGGCATGAGGATGGGTTTGCCCCTGCCCTGTGTCCCCAGCAGCTGTGGAGCTGGGCTCCTGTGCTGTAAGCACCACCTCGGATGGGCTCCTGGCCACTGAAAGGCAAAGCCTGTAACTGAGAGGTGTTATCCCCATTAGCTCTTAATTGGCCTTTGAGCGGCTGGTTTCAAGTCACCATTTTTTGGAAGATGTCTCCAAGCTCCGATTTTCCAGAAGGATCAGGTGCCTGTGTGTCCTTTCATTCTGTGACACTCCGGCACCGTGCCCTTGCTGTTTACGGCAGGAGGGGGATTTGCTTACCGTGCACGGGGAGGGTTTCCAGCACCACTTTGCAGATCCCCTCCTGGAGACAAGCAGGGCCCCCTTGGCCTGCAGGGATGATACTTTTAGCTGCCTCTCAAAACGACGGTGATTAAGTTCTGCCAGGAAGGACGGTGGTGGTTCCAGGAACTGCCATCTGAGGTGTAATTAAAGGCTGAGGCTTTGTAGGAAGCACGGAAGGCTGGGTACAGCTTGTGCTGTCTTCGGAGCAGCGGTGGGACAGCCTGGGCTGGGAGACCCAGAGCCTGGCTTGCTGCATCAGAGCAGGTCCTGGAGATGGTGGCAACCTGCCCAGAAGCAACCCCTGATAAAAGCTTTGACAAAAGCGTCTGACTTTCCTAAAATACTCCTTTCATGGGGCTACGTAGGCACTTGTTGCTTCATGGGTCAGGTTCTGCTGGAGCATGAGGTCTCCTGTAAGTCATGTCCGGCTCCAGAGCATGCAGGGCTCCATCCCCATCCCACCCCCTGGGAGCCAGAATGCCCAGGTTCTCCACCTGGCTGCTCCGGCTTGCTGACCAAACTGGGATGACTTGAAGTTGGTGATGTTCCTATAGCCTGGGCCAAGGGTGTCCCTTCTCACCCTTCTGCAAATGCCTCTCAATGCTGACATTCCCCCATGTTTCCAGTGAAACCCTTAACCCTGCAAAGCTCCTCCTCCCACCCACTTTAGGGTTTTCCTGTGGTCCAGAAGAAATCCCATCTTTTCTCCCGTTTCCGGGGAAGAGCCCAGTCCCTGCTCACCTTTCCCTCCCCATGGAAGAACCCCAGCTCCCTCGGAGCAAGACTCCCCTGCCCTTATCCCCTCGGGGAGCCGTGGGAGCAAGGAGGGAAGATCTCCACGGTGATGCTCCCCGCTCCTTGGCTGCGCTGCTGAACGCCAGCCCGTTCCCATCCATCTCTGCATGCAGCAGGTGAAAATACTTTGAAGGCGAGTGCCCCTGAGCTTGCCAGATGCTGGTTATTTTAAGCCTGGAGAATGGGAAACGTTGGCCACCGAGGCACAGAGTTTGTGTTTTCTGCCAAGGGACAGTGGAGGGGACTGGGCAGGGGTCTGGGACACGGCTCCAGGGGCAGGAGTGAAGCTTAACAGCATGGTCCTCGTCTGCCCAGGCTGGGAGAGGGGTTTGCTGTAGAGCAACTCATGGTTCCTCACCAGTTTGTGGTGAGGAACAGCCTTGTCCTGCTGGAGCTGGGGCTTGCAGGAAGGAGAGGTTACGCTTGCGTTCGTGTCTGCTCTGCCTCTCATTCACACCCCTTCCCCCTGCAAACCAGGGGTGAAGCAAACACTCCTCCAATTTGGAAACTGCTCTTTTAAGGACACGGAAGAAAAATAATGGTACAATCAAAGCTGCTCGGTATCAGCAGGGATTACAGTGGGATGTGTGGAGGGGCTCATACATCTCTGTCCGGAGAGGGAAACCCTCTATACACACGTGTACTAGCGAGGTCTGCCTTTGCTGGAGTTAGATGGTCTCTTGAAGTTCCTAATCACAAGCCCACTTGAGCTGTTAGCAGTTCCTTTAAACAGGGATTTGGTGTGTTTAGGCTGACTGTCCTCCTTGAGAGCACGAGTTTTTTACTGGATAATATTTCAAAGGAGAGGGGTTTTCTCTTTTTTCCTGTAATGCCTCCTCTGGTGCTGATTTATCAAGCTGGGAGATGCTGGAGCTGGTTTGGTTCATCAGTCAGTGTGATGGATGTTGGGTCTCAACACTCCTGGTTCCTCTTTTGGAACTTGATAAAAACTACTTAAAAACCATGTGGTGGGGAAGCCAAGTCACCTCCTTTCCTTGGGACTGATAATGTCCACTTCTGGGGTGCTCACGACTTCGGGGTCCTTCCCCAGCCCTTTCAGCTGCTCCTCCCGCCTCTCCTCTTCTCCTTTCTCTGCCTTCTCCCAGCCTTTCCATCTCCTTCTCTTGGCAGCCTAATGACCCGGTGACGAACATATGCCAGGCAGCAGACAAACAGCTCTTCACCCTGGTGGAGTGGGCCAAGAGGATCCCCCACTTCTCCGAGCTGCCCCTGGACGACCAGGTCATCTTGCTCCGAGCAGGTGAGTGGGAACCGTCCCCGTGCAGGCTCTGGCCCGGGGCCGTAGGAATGCCACATCTCAACGGTGACAGGTATTACGCTTAGATTTAGGTCCTGGCAACTTGAAAGCCTTTAACTCATTCTGAGTAATAGCCTCTGATAATTCCATTGCCAAATAGGATTTTAAAAGCCCCAAGGGACGTGTTGCTGAACGTGATCCAAAATGTTGCGCCAGCTGCCAATCAGCTGAAAAACGGCCCGGCTTCATCCGTGATGGGCGAGGTGCTCGGAGATGTGCGCTGGGTGATTGAAACCGGGGCAGCGACGTGCTGCCTTTCTCCGGAGCCGAGACTTGAAAGACCAAGCGGGCTTGGGACTCCATGAAATTTCATCAAACTCAAACGTTTGATCATAATTAAAACCAGAAAGGGGAGAAAACAAAATGTATCGCCCTCTGTCTCCCACCCACCAAGATGAAAATGAAATTCTCTGGGCTTATTTTGAATTTCGTTGTGTGGCAGGGGGTCTGCAGGAGCGGAGGCGTTGGGAGGTGGAGAGCAGTTAGCTGTGAAAAGGGTCTTCTCCCATCAAGTAAATTCCAGCCCCTACTGCGGGCAGGTTATGCACAAAGACCGGAGAGGGCAAGAAATCAGGAGCAGAGCTGGACGAGGGTGCATTTTAGGCATGAAGCTCTTTGCATAGCTCCCATCATCAGATGAGTGATTAAAAAGGCTTTGCTTTGACGCAGTGGAGAGTTTTGCTCACTTAAACAAAGAGAAAGTTTAAGTCCCACCACGTTGTCGGTGGGACAGATGAACCAAGGACCAGCAAATGACAAACTCCATGGCGAGGAGACAAGAAGACCTTGACGGCTGGCTGTGGCACCCAGCTCTGCGCTTGGCAATGGGAGAAACCACCCTCGGCTACTCGAAGTAGTCAAGGGAATTTGAAAGGGAATGATGGAGGAGTCTGGGGCAGAGCAGAGGTACAGCCTTAGAGCAGGGCGAGCTGGTGGGCTACCTGGAGTGACCCTGTCTGGCAGACAAACCCAAGCAAGCCAAGGACTCTGAAGTCCCTGGTAGTTTTAAAAGTTCCTTGTTTCCCCAAAATGCACTTTAGTAGGGAATTCTAGAGGGGAAAAACCCTGCAGGGTGTGTGCTTCTCTCTCTGCGCTCTTCTGGCCTTGGGTTAATGGCCTCTGTAGACGAGACACTGCTGATCCACCTTGATGGCAGCGTTCGTGGCTTCTTAGTGTAGAAAGTGTGTGCCCCAGAATAAACGCCCATGAAATTGGGCAGGAAGCTGCTTTAAGAACCAAGTTCAAAGTATTCACTTCAACCCAAAACATAGCAACTGCCAGAACTCCTCCGGTCCAAGTTCTGTCCAGGTTGCTTCAGAAGAAGGTGTTCAGTGTTTCCTCCTTCCCACACACACACACTAGCTGCCATTCTGTTTCGTGAGGCTGACTGTAGCCCAAAGGCATGAGTCGTAATACTTGCTGCGATTTTTTATTGACAATCAGCCAGTGGAACTGCCTACCTTGGCCCTACGTACAAATACCCAGTCTCTCTGCCAACCTCTCTGAAATCCTTGACCTCAGTGGTTTCTGGGCGATTAAGTCGCACCGTTTACTGGTGTAGGTTTTCCACTCTTCTTATATTACTGAAAGGAGATTTTTATAGTCACATTTCATCTAGTGGTTACAGCAGTAGTCTGGGAATGGAGAATTTGGGGGTTTTATTCTTGCTGCAGGCTTGGCCGAGTCCCATGCCCTCCCTGGCCGGCTCCTGTGAGCCCTTTGCTGAAGGTGCTCCTCTGATTTTTCCGTGGGTGGGAACGTTGCCAGAGCTGGCTCACATCCCTCTCTGGAAAACACAAAAAGTGTATTTTTGAAGAGGGTCTCTAGAGCCTCTTGTGAGAGTGGATGGGCAGGGGAAGCATCTCTATAGAAATCTTTGAGGGCTTTCAGCAAGTATGGCAGGGGAGGACTGGATTCAGACAAAAAGCTGCCTTTTCCTTTTGAGAAATGGAAACAAAACCCACAACAACAGATCAAGGTTTTCCTTTCTCTTTAGAAGAAGGCTAATGAAAACTGAGCTGGAGATTTTCTGACCCGATATTCTCCTTTGTGCTGGTTCTTGTTATGACCAGCTCCGAGCCGGCATCCTGGAGGGGCCGCTCCACGGGGCAGGAGGAGAGGGGGCTGCGGACCCCATCGCATCCCAGATTTCATTGTGGCTCTAACCCCATGGCCATGAGGTGGGCTGAGCACCTGTAGCAGCTCTGATGGGCTCCCTGCTCCAGGCGTCTCTGTCGGGGCCTCAGATAACCTCCCCCAAGTCTTTTAACCGGTGGCTCTATCTATTATTGAGTGGGGAGAGCGGCCTGCTGAGAACAGCTGCCCATGAAATATTTAAGTATTAAAATTTCGCTGAGCGTCAGTCAGGTTCAGTCATGCATCCTTGGAGGCAAAATTAAGTGGAGCAGGCATCTTTGGAGGAGCAGTGCTGGATGGACCGGCAGTAGCTTTCCTCTAATGCTGAATCATTTAAAAATCTTCCCTCTCTGAGCTTTTTGAAGGAGAAGGAAACCCAACTTTTCAAGCCTGTTTTCCCTGGGTTTTCTTGTTTCCAAGCTTGCCATGGCTGAGACGAGAATAACCTGATGCTTTCTTTGCATCAAGGCCTGGCAAAGGATGCTGAGCACTGCATCGCGGCAGCTGCAGCTCATTTGGTAGAGCTGGTGGGGAAATTTAGTAGTGAGATGGATGAACACGATGGTCACTCTGCTGCCGGGTGCTGTCTCTATCCCAGAGGAGCCAAAGCATCCCCGGAGTCTGCAGCCACCTTGTTTGATGACAAAAGAGTCTCAAGAGTCAAAGAAACGTGCTCTGCTTCTCCAGAGCTTGGGCTAAAATGCAAAACTCTTTGGGTAGACTTGTCTGATCTCTAACTCAAGATTTACTGCCTGTGGTTATACCTGATTTTTCCTACTTGCCTCTTTGCCAGCTCTTTAGGGATGCTCTGGTGAAAGCACCGGATAGAAATAGGTTCCCCTTTTCAGCCAAAACATCCCAGCTCTCAATGGGAGCGATTCAGCTGAAGGATGCTGACGAATCCAGTGCTCCTTAGCTGGAAAAAGCCCAGCACAGATGTCGGCAGCACCCCGCAGCCTCA